ACAGGCGCGACACCAAGGGTTGCGATCCCGTTACCGGTCAGTAAAAAAGACAAAAAAAAAAGGTTTGAGGAGAATAGAATTAAAAGATAATATGAATCTTTCCATGAACTTTTTGAAGTATCCTCATAGCATTATGTGTGAGAGATTTACCCATGTGGAGTTAGTTTCGTATAATACTCTGTTATATGAATAATTATCTGTTCTATTATTGATGTATATTTAAGTATTTTGTAAGTCGGGGTTATTATGAATAATGCTGCTATGAACATTCTAGAAATGTCTTTTGATGATCATACACATACATTTCTATTGGGTAAATACCTAGGAGCAGAATTGCTAAGGCACAGGATATGCACACCTTTAGCTTTAGTAGATATTCCCAGATAAGAGAAATATTTGCTCTTTTCTCAGTTTCTAGATCAGGGTTTCTCAACTTCAGCAATATGGACGTTTTGGACAGGATAATTCTTTGCTGTTGTGCATTGTAGGATGTCTAGCAACAGCTATGGTTTCTATCCTTTAGATGCCAGTGGCACTGCCTCCCCACAGTTCATGACAATATAAAACATCTCAGACATTGCCAAATGTCCTTTGGTGGGCAAAATCACCCCCCTCCTGCTGGGAACTGCCACTCTAGATGGTGAGCTCTGTGAGTGCCAGGACCTTCCCTGTCTTTAGGAAGTGATTTACTATGTCTCTCCAGGGCCAGGCATGCAGTAGGCACTCAAGAGACTTTTGTCTTTTAAAAGCAGCCTTGGGCTGGGAATGTCCCCAGATAATGTGCTTCACCTGGGGCAGAGCAGTCCTGGGCACAGGCCATGGCTGACCAGAGCAGGCTCACATGATGCATGGCAGTGGCCAGGGCCCCAGAGTTAGGAGAGAGTGGCTGGATCCCATCACCATCAATATGCCCTTGTGGGGACTGGGCCATGGTCACAACCTCGGTCATTCTCCCTGACACCATCTACCATGTTCCACCCAGGCGTGGAGTCCTGCACCTTCATGAGAGCAGTGGAATTCATGACATCGGCTTGCCCCAGTGGCAGCTTTTGCTCTGTCTGATGGTCGTCGTCATCGGCCTGTACTTTAGCCTCTGGAAAGGAGTGAAAACATCGGGAAAGGTAATATCTCTTTGTTTCTCTTTCAGTTTGGAGGTTGGCCTTGAAAAAAATTTTTTTTCTAGTTGTGTTATGACCAAGTAGTTGGTGAAAAGAGAAGTGGGGACTGGAAGTACAAAGCCTGGGTTCAAGCCCTAGCTCTGCCAGTGGTTTGAACAAACCCCTTCCCTTCCCTTCCCTAAGTCTCCCCAACAGTAGGGTGACAGGGTTCAAGTAGATCAGGGCTTCTCTTGCTTTCCTGCCAAAGCTCTCCTCATAGCAGAAACCAGGGACTGGGACACCCCCAAAGACTAAAGCAACTATCAACATGTCTTTGATAAATCTTGGATTTGGACCTAAAACATGCAAATTTTGCATCCAACTCTGGAGTATCACCATTTGCTTTACTATAAAATCAATAAGTCCCTTCTCTGAATTTTCGCATAAGAGA